TACACAATTGATGTGTGTATGGATTGGGATAACAGTTGTATGAGCCCCTAATAAAATGTTAAAAAAGAAAAAAAAAAAAAACTCGGCTTATACGTGAGTATATCCGATACTACAGACCTCATGTGCTTTGGGGACTCTTTACCAGTCTGAACCCACAACACTGTGCAATTCAGCCAAGCTGTGCTACTCACCCTAGAGTGGCCTGTGCCTCCTAATCCCAGCACTTTTCTCCCTAATACTTCTTCCCTTGAGTATTTTCTCTACGTGTAATCATTCATACCTATCACTCAAGACTCACAACTCCATTTGTTTTGATTGGGAGCTGTCTGTTTTCTTCGGTGACATTTCATAGCACAACCTCTGTGTTCTGTTTTCCCAGTTTATAGAAGCACTGCTACTCATGTTTGCATTTATAAACTATACTCATCTTGAATAGAATTACTGTGTCTCATTCGTTGTTTTATTAATCATCATAAAGTGAAAGGCGTGACTAGCCTATTTGGGATTATGTGCTCACTTTCCAGAGATGGTCTTCTGGCTAGATATCCAGTTTGAACAGACCAAATGTATATATATGTTCCCCTTCGTGTGAAGACAAGATGATATCCTTTAACCCAGTCATTTTCAACTGCTTGATTCAGGAGTACAGAACTTAGCTCCCATCTCAGCACCCCACCCCCCGCTGGCTCTCCTGGGCACCCAACACCCTATCAGTGCCAACTAGATGTTTGTTGAAAGTCTCAATTAATTACTGGCAAGCATGTTTATGCTCGTTTAAATTCGCTGAGTCCAGAAATGTTTACAGGCATAGAATTTGCTAGAGAGAAAAAAGAAGAAGAAATTTAGGTCAGGTCATTGAGAATGTTTATAAGAAGTAAGTAAAATCCAAGAAAACATGCAACTTTCATAAGATACATGCTGTCATGAAAGCATTTCAGAACTGTAACTGTTGTGTACAGGTGATCTCAAAGCCACTGTGAAAGCTAGAGCCCCCACATGTCCTCTCCTTTCATCCCGTGTTCCTTGGGTCATCTTGTTTCTCAGCAGCACACGTGCCCTGGCCTAGGGTGCTCACCGTGCGCTCCTCTCAGACCCGAATGTGCCTGCTCCACAGCATTCGGTTCACCGTCTGCCCTTCAGAGACGTGTTCACTGCACTGGCCGCCCTCTCACATGTTCCAGCCCCTCTTCCTCAGCCCATCTTACTTTCTTCCTATCACGTATCTATCCCTTCTGCATGCTTTTGTTTATTGTCTGTCTCCATCACTAGAATGAAAACCTGCCCTTTCTATCGTACCTCCTGCCCTAAGAACAGTGCCCCCTAGAGAGTAGCTCCAAAGTGACTGTATTCTAAAGGAATGACCAAACCCCAGGAGTGGTGGTTGGTTTTGTTGTTTTGAAGAAATCAACATTCCATGTGGTGGAATTTTCGGTTTTAACATCCTGTTGAAGAGGAATTGTGGAGGTTGCAGGCTCCCTGGTGCTGTGCCCTCCTTGATAACTGCCAAGGTACTGCTTCCTGCCATTGGAGCCAGGCTTCAGAACCATGGATACAGCTTTGTTACCAAGGCTATAATTGAGGCAGAAGTTTTTGACTAAAGAAACCTTGCTTATAATTTATGACTATCCCTCCCTAACGCCTCTGGATGTTAACTTTGTGGCATATAAACCCATGTGCTCACATGCAGGGCGCACAAACACATTTAGGTACCAGACTAAGTCATAACACTTAATGCGGTGCATTTATATGCAGACCGTACAGGAATGTTGGAAATACTAAACTGTAAATGTCTGCCATTTCCAGAAATCGAAGACTTCGGCTCCGAGACTTCAATTTTATATACTAAACAGAGAGGAGTGTTTTATCAGAATTTTCCCTTAATTGGAGTTTCTTATCCTTACAGTTGGTAAACTAGCCACATGCTATGTAGCCACATGCAGTTTGTGTGCTGATATTTGCCAGTGACGTCATCAAGAGGGACTGTCCCTCACCATTTTTGTGATAAGTGCAAAATACACGCTTGTTGAATAAATGATGACTACGTGATTGACAAAAATGTTAGATGGCTGTGTTAAAGTGGAGTCAAGCTTATTAAGCAGTAACTTTGGTTCATAATAATTTCAAGTTCCATAGTTTAGGACAGGAATACTATTTAGGATAGAAAAATCGTTAACCTAGAAGAACTCCAGTAGGACCAGAGAAGATTGTTTTTGTTTCCCTGCAAGGAATAGCACTTTAAAATCCAGCAACTAGCGCTGGTGTGTTCAAATATGTATTGCAACAGTGATGGGTTATCTGGTTAGCTCCTGGGGCTTAAGGTGAATAAATAGCTCTTTTTGGATCATTTAAGCACAGGACGGGAAGTGGGAATTCAAGCCCAGAGCTTTTGCATCCATATCACTCCAGGGGTCCTAAAACTTTTTAAACAGGGGCCCAGTTCATCGTCCCTTAGACTGTTGGAAGGCCAGACTATAGTTTAAAAAAACTATGAACAAATTCCTATGCACACTGGACAAGTCGGCTGCTAAGCAGGACAGGCAGCGGGGGCAAAAATACCCGGCGGGCCAGATAAATGTCCTCTGTGGGCCGCATGTGGCCCACGGGCCGTAGTTTGAGGGCCCCTGCACTAGTCTATCCTCGTTATTAAGAGTGGGGCGGGGGGCGGGGGTGGGGGGGGCGGCGGCAGGTACAGACAAGCTTGAAAATGATCAGTTTGGGAAACATTTTAAAACTTTTTATTATGAATTTGTTGAAAACTTACAGAGCAAATCTGCTTTCCCTTCAGTGATCCAGACACATTTTGTTTCATGTCATTGATTGCTGTCACCACAGCATAACATCTCACGTCCACGGTCCAGCCTGTATCTCCCTTGCATTCCTCTCCTTTCCTACCTCGTCCTGCCTTCCGAAAGGTCCTAGGGCAGATGCTACCCTTTTGAGCTCAAAGGGTTGACTATTCTAAGGGGTGGAACTTCCATAGGGTTCTGGTCGTTATCTGTTTGGGGTATCGTAAAACAATACACTGTGTTTCCTGCCTCACCCCCACCCTTTGGCATATTGATACCACACTTCTTAGAGTGATAAAGACTGATGTGACAGGTGCACATCACTGCACCTTCCACAGGCTAATTTCACACTGGAATTTACCTCTCTTTAGTTCTTGGCAAAAATGTACATCGGTCAGCAAAATTGACATATACTCCTATGTTTTCAGCAAATTTAACTCCAGGATAATGGGGAATAAAACAAACTTGCAAAGTAAATAAGAAATTGAATTAAGAGTAAACTGCTTACCTTAGTAGAGTCATTTTCAGCTTTTAAATGTTATAGAAGTCTATATCTAATGTTTCTCGATTGTCACTATTTTCTTTTATTACTGTAAACTTTAGGTTCACTAACTTATTTGGCCAGTGTCCCCTTTTCAGAAAAAAAATTGCGCCACTCAAGTAATTACAAGAATCCCATAATCCAGGATAAAGTGTAAACATCTGTCTTTGAGCCTCCCTGGATCATTCCGGCAACCCCCAGGGGGCGATATCACCCACCTTGGGAAGCACTGCTTTAACCTCAAATAACTGAATACATAAAAACATCCATAATCAGAACCAAATTAAAGCAGCAAATATAACTGTTTAGAATTGAGTCAACAAAGGATGATTTGTGAATAATTCCTGCCACCTCTGCACAGCAGGCAGCTGCCACTTTCTCACAGGGTGATGTGGGCCGGCCCGATCGATAGCCTGCTTCCAAAATTTTTACCCCAGCCCACTGCCCACACACAACAATCAAGGCAAAGCCCAGAGTCCTTCCTGTTACGTGCTCGTAGTTGCACTATTAGCCTTGCCATAGATTGTTGACCAACTTCCAGCATGGTGACTTTCGATTGGTTTCTGAGCATATTGTCCAGCTCTGGAGTCAGCAAACCAACACTCTCAAGCCGTTTATGGCTCTTTCAGGACTTACGTGTGGCTCTGAAGTGAAACTGAAAAATCTCAAAGGATATTATTCAGATAATGGTGATCTCATTTGTTTGTAAAAATATGCTTATGGCTCCCGAATAATTTTTAAATTGTGAGACACAGGATTGGCTCTTCAGTCTCAAAAGTTTGCCCCTCGACCCTTCATTTTTCTTTCAAATGGAGACAAGGAGAACATCTTCCTCTTGTTTTAGGAATGTCGGTTTAGATCAAGGTCCCTGGATGGTGCAAATGATTAAGCACTTGACTACTAGCCGTAAGGTTGGAGGTTCGAAGCCATCCAGAGGCACCTGGAAAGACAGCTGTGGTGACCTCCTCCAGAGACGTCCCAGCTTTGAATCCCTGTGGAGGACCGCTCTGCTCCGTGTCTCGGGGTCACCCTGAGTTGGAATTGGCTCAATGGCAACTAGCAGCAACATTTCTATTGACAGTATGAAGTGGAGCAAAGTAAAATAAGTTGTTTTTCATTCACAGCTAAGAAAAATGCCAATCCCTCTTCGAAAATGTCATCATTACTAGAAAATCATATTAGGTTTTTTTTTGTTTTGTTTTATTTTGTTTTCATGACGAGACCATTGGCCTCAGAGTCAGGCATTGATGATAAATTTTTTTGTAAAAATGTCCCACTTGTCTAATTTCTTTTTGAAGGGAAAAGTAAAACACAGAAAATTAAGACGAATGGTTTTGGAAACATCTTTTTTTATCTGTAGGGCAGCCTGAAAGCCTAGTGGCCCACGCAAAGCAGCATATTCTTTTAATGAGCCCGCCGATTTCCCATGCATGGTCTTCCTCTGGGCTCCTCCGACTGCAGAGACAAGTCTGGTCTTGCATGGTTGCATTAAGGCTAGCCCTGATGAGTAGAAAGCGCATGCAGGACCACAGTAGTTGAAGATGTTTCCGTCTTAAAGCCACAGCTCATGAATGGTACAATTTAAGTAACCTCTAGAGCTTGCATCTGACACACCTTTTCTGTCTTTTCCTTTCCACTCTGCCCTCACTTTTTATCCATCCACCTGCTGACAGTGTCTTTACATCCAAAATGCAAAGCAGACAGATGGGCCTCTCCGGGAAGAACATGACGAAAAGCACCAGCATCAGTGGGGACATGTGCTCGCTGGACAAGAAGGACGGCAGCCAATCGGACACGGCGGTGGGTGCCTTGGGCACCAGCAGCAAGAAGCGTCGATCCAGCCTTGGGGCCAAAATGGTAGCTATTGTTGGTCTCTCAAGGAAAAGTCGCAGCGCTTCTCAGCTCAGCCAAACGGGTAGGAATTGTTTTTGCTTCTTTTGACGTTGTTTGTCATTCAAACACCTACTCTCTTTGCTAATCCCTTGTATTGCAGTGGCCTGTGGATGATCACATCTTCCAGAAGCAGAGGAGCCTAACCTTTCTGGCACGTAAAAAAAAAAAAAAAAAACGGGCTTCATTTTTCAGTGACCGCTAAGCCTGCCTCAAAGTGTGTGTAGGCTGGGAGGACGTTGACCTGTGTGTGTCTTTCTCCTCAGGGAGGAGTTAAGCGCGGTACCCCGCTGGTCAGTGGCAATGCTTTGTAAAGATGCTCAGATCTGCCAAAGATCTGTTTCTCTTCTGGTAACGCTCCTTGTAAATTTCAGGGTGTTTTTTCTCCCCAAGTTGGAACCAGACAAATGCACTTTGGTGCTCACAAGTCGCCATGCTGGAGAGGACGCCTCGTCGTCTTTGTGTGACTAATGTAGGTCTTTGACTGCTGACAGCCTGCCTGCCTTCTCCGTTTGTAAGCAACATTTACTTCCAGTGCTGTCCTTTCCTCCCTGTTAAACTTCAAGCAGCACTGTTCTCCAGCAGCAAGGATGGAAGGGGTTTTCTGCTGACAGTGAAGATACTCAAAGCTTTGCTTCTTTACAATTCAGTCTCTAAATCACATCTGCAAAAAATAAATTACATACAACACTCCTACTCAGAAAAGCCACTGTTAGCAATTAAGAAAATTTGTGAGTCAAAGCAATGTCTTTTTTTTTTTTCAAATGGGTGTTACTAATTAAACATTAAATCCCTGGAATCTCGAAAATAATAGCATATCTTCTACTTAGCAAACAGGCGAGAGCATATAATATGGTGTTTCTTTTACAGCAAATAAATTATAGGCAACTGGATTAAATCTAATTTATGCCTGAATACAGCAGTTCTTGTACACAGATGTCAGGACATAAATCTACAACCCCACAAAATTCTAAGAGTACTTTCATTCTTGGACCCGGCTAATCAGTTTTTTAGACTATAACTGTGATTTTGGAATTTAAACCTTATATAATATTATTTTGAGATGATTATTAGGTGATATTCTGTGTACCCCAGTTACAACTCACTCTATTTAATGTGATTACTGTGGTAGGAATGGTTCTTCTGACGCTTTCAAATGCTGCTTCACATTTTTAATGTAGATCCAGATTTGAATTTTGAACATAGCAATCATATGTAAGCTGGATATTTAAATTGCTGAAACACACGTAATTAACTGTGTTGTGCTAAAATGATAGTAGCCGTTGAAATAGATTTTGTTTTTACGTTTCTCTATTGGAACTGTAATTTTGGCCTTTTCTCTTTTACATTTTCAAGCATTAAGAACCTAAAACAGACATGTGCTATTAAAGTAAATATTAAAGTTTTATTAATAACAATTGAAGACTTATTGCATGATAGAGAACAAAGACAAGTAAGAAATAGTTTATAACTCTGAGTGGCTTATAATCTAGTAGAAGGCAGACACGTAAACAGAATGTCTTAAGGTCTTTTGTCGGAGGTAAAACTAGAATTAAATAAAAAAGTGCACTGGAGGCTCCTCTTTAGACCACTTGATCCAGCAAGGGGTTTTTAGGAGTTAATTCCTAGAAGGGATACCTGCTCTGAATAGCTAAAGAAGATTCACTATTAACCAGGCATCAGTACCAAATAGAAACCATTGAATGATCAGCAACCCAATGTCATCTTCACGTGGAATGTGGAAGAGATGGTATTAACGAGGAGGCCGGCAGGATCACATTTCAGTGAGGCTGCCTTGACCTAACAGAGGCCCCAGCTGGTAAAGAGCTGAGGACTAGTTAGCAAAGTAGTCTTGGTTCAGACAGAGAAAAGATCTTGTAAGGTGGCACTTGTAGTACAGATAGAGATCAAGGAAATGTTTGAAGGGCATATTTAGGAGAACATCTGGCTGATTACAGTCCCTGGGGGGCACAAGCCATTTGCATTCAATGACTAACTTAAGGGTTGGTGGTTTAAATCCACCCAGCAACAGCCGCCCTGTAAAACATAGGGCTGGAGACCTGCTTCCAAACCAAATAAGCCAAGAAAACCCCTGGGGAGCAGCTCTGCTAGGTGATCCTTGGGGTTGCCTTGAATAGGAACCGTCATGGGGTTTGTGTGGTGGTTGTTGTGATTACTGGTATGTGGGCTAGTGAAGGAGAGAGAATTCTAAGGGTTTCTCCCATGTTTCTGACTTTCAAAACTGAGTTGAGAGTACTGTTGCTACTGCGTATTGAAAGCATCAGAGAAACAGCAGTCCAGTGAAAGAAGGATGTGAGTGATCGTTTGATGATGCGCTGCTGTGGTATGTTATCCATGTAGCATTCAGGCTGACATTTCAAGAACATGATGTTAGCACACTTAAGAACTAAAGACTTATCCTTTGGTATATCCTATAACCCCTTCCTACATATAGAATGGTAGAAAATAAAACATTGAACTTTTTTGTTGTGTTCATTAATGATGACCCTATACTAATTAAAATACTTAGCATTTAAAAAATATAAAGATATTTGTACCTACTTATGGATGATGGATTTCAAAGTATCTCTCACTTCCAAATTTTGAGTTTTAATTATAGGATTGTTTTATAATGACTAGACTCTAAATTTCAGTGGACTTCTATATCCTATATTTGTATGTATACATGTATGTTTTACTTATGGTTTTATGCCTTGTCCATTTAAGAAAAATGTAATCACAGTCTCCCATAATATTTAGAACTGCTATCATTATCCCAATTCTACCTTACAAATCTGGCTAGACCAGAGGATGTACACTGGTACAGATAAGAGCTGGAAACACACCAATAATGAGAGTAGCGATACCGGGAGGGTAAGGGAAAGGTGGGGGGAGAAAGGGGAAACCAATCACAATGATCTACCTATAACCCCCTCCCTGTGGGGCAGACAACAGAAAAGTGGTGAAGGGAGATATCAGACAGTGTAAGACATGACAAAATAATAATTTATAAATTGTCAAGAGTTCATGAGGGAGGGGGGAAATGAGGAGCTGATACGAAGTGCTCAAGTAGAAAGAAAATGTTTTGAGAACGATGATGGCAACAAATGTACAAATGTGTTTGACACAATGGATGGATGGATTGTGGTAAGAGTTGTACAAGCCCCCAATAAAATGATTTTTAAAAAGAAAAGAAATACTATGAAGCACAGGTCTAATTCTGACGTAGATGGCCTCCCCAGGAGTCAGAATCAGTTTGATGGAAACTTCTTTTTAAATTCCAGGCTGGGCAGTTTTTCTTCTTTACATTATCTTCAATGTCTGCAATAGTATCAAATACAGTGATCTTCATTCTGTGTCTATTTACTCCATTGGGTGTGTGTTTCAGTCCCCTGAGGTACAGAAGGAGAATAAAACTTATTTGTATCTTTCAATTCAAAAGACAAAAATGATTTTTAGTATCAATATCTAAAATACGTTTGATCCTGGTGTTCTTAGTTGTTCTGGTGTTAATCTTCACAATTTACCTTATTGGACTAAAGGAACCGTTGTTGTTGTTGTTGTTGGTGGTGGTGGTGGTGGTGGTGGTGGTTGCCTGTGAGTCCACTGGCGGAGCAAGTGTGTCAGTCCATCTCATTGAAGATTCTCTTCTTTTCCATTGTCCTTCTAGATTACCAAATGTCATCCCATAGGGATTGGTCTCTCCTAATGACGTGTAGAAAGTAAGCATGACAGTTGACTGTCTTCTCTTATAAAGAACATTTTGATTTTATTTCTTCTAAAGTTAATTTGTTTATTTTTCTACCCATCCATGGAATAATCAATATCTGTTGTCAATACCACAATTCAAGTGCATTAATTCTTCTTCTTTTTTGCATTGTCTACTTTTACATTTAATTTTGTAGATCATAATACATTATGAATACCTTCCATAGAGTGAGGATTCCAGAACACTTAATTTTGCTCCAGTGGAGTCTGCCTTTGTATCATAAGAGGCAATAGCTTCAACAAAACGGAGATCCTGCCTGGTTCAAAATGGGGGTGTGTGTGCAGGGTTGTACTTACTCAGTCTTATCACATTTACTCAAACCTGTATGCAAAGCAAATCACCCGAGAGGCTGCACTAAATCCAGAAGAACTCAGCATTCAGACTGCAGGAGGACTGCTCACAGCCTGCAATAAGCAGATGACACAACCTTACTGGAGTAAGTGAAGACAACTTGAAATGCTGCTTCCAGAAAAGCGTCAGCCTGCAGTATGGGTATACATGAATGTGAAGAAAATGAAACTCTCACCGCTGGACCAATCAGCAACATCATGATAAAATAGAAAAGTTAAGCTGTCAAAGATATCATTTTACTTGGATCAGCAATCAATGCCCATGCAGTCAGCCGCCAAGAAATCTAACTGTATATTGCACTGAACAAATCTCTTGCATGTTGCCGTGAGCAGAAGACTTCTTTAAAGTTCTGAAAGGCTAAGAAAGAGGCCACTGTAATGATTAAGATGCGCCTGACCCCAGCTGTGGGTGCTTGTATTGCTTCATAGGTATGTGAGAACTGGACAATGAAAAAGCACATTGTAGTTCATACAAAGATTTGAGATTTTTTTCTAAGTCAAAATTCAGGAAAGAATGTCAGTCGGTGAAAAACATAATTAGCAAGGTGAATGTTTTCACTGGAATGCTCACAGCTGGAGGCATCTGTGTTATCACGTGCATTTTAACGCGAGAAACAGAGATGCAGACAGCTTCAACGTGAACACACAGCTCCAGAGCTGGTCCTCTCCATGTGGCCCCACTGTTGCCAGCAGGGTATTTGTATAATTAGTTCAAATCGTTAGCGGGAAAGAGGAACTTCAAATTAAAAGCTCCTCAGGGGAAGTGTGTTTAATCTAATATGGGTTTTATTTAATTTAATTGGACATAATTTTAGGATGTAAATAGCCAAGAGGCATTGTGCATGCTAGTAATCAGTAAAGGCTTAGTAACTGTAAATAACTAAACCATAAAGACTTCAATTCTGA